TGCGATGATGGGCACCGGTGATTGGCTCCCACAGGAGGAGTTCCTGAGTTTCCTGGCGGCGGTCGGAGAGGAAGAGGGCGCGGCCGTGGCGGCAGTCGAGGGGGCGCCAGAATCGGCGGTCTGGAGCGGCGAGGGAGAAGGGCGAGGCGGTGGTGGGGACAAAGTCTGGGATGCGCTCGTCTTCCCAGTCGTGGAGGAAGCCGAGCACCGGGGGTGCCCGGTGGCGGTGGAGCCCGATGAAGCGGCGGCGGAAGTAGGGATGGGAGACGGCGCTCCTCCAGGCCTTGCAGACGAGGGAGGCGCGGAAGAGGCAGCCTGGGTCGTCGGGTGGGAGGCGGAGGAGGATCTCTTCGACGACGTCGTCTGGGAGCTCCGGCGGCGGCGGCAGCGGCGGTGCTGCCATGGTGGCCGTTGGCTGGGGAACGGTGGAATGGTTTGGCTCAACCAGGTCGGGACTCTGACCACACTTTTTTTTAGGATTGACCACTATTTCTCTGTTTGGAAATTATTAGATTCTTTTAACAGACCACATATATATACTATTATACTACCATGTGGTACTATATATATTATTTTATTATTTTAAATATGTTCATATACTATATTTAAAATATTTCAAAGCAAGTTACATGAAAAAATTGCATATGAGCCCATAGGTTTTGTTATATTTATGAAATACGTATATATTTGTACGTAAAAAAAGCATACTCAAAACATGATACATACTACCTAAAAAATTAGTATATATACTACCTAATTATTGTTATATACTACATACTACACGTTTTTACCATCATCCTTGATTACTCAGTTCCCTACGGAATCCATTACCTTAAAGTCACAAAGTCTCATAATTGTAAATATACTTGTGTGTGAAACTGCTTTGCACGTGACATGCCTAACCAATTTCGGAACGATGCAAAATCTCACGGCGTCCACGAACGGCTTGATTAGGAACATCGTCCATGAATGATGCACATGACGTCATGTGTGTAGCAACGCCCTATAATTATTTCAAATTCAACAACTATCCTAGGCCGTATCTTGACTATAAACGATCAAATTTAAACTCTTGGGAAAAATAACAGTAAATAAATTTACTCTGCAAATAGTTGGGTGCATAAGCGGATTTGCATCGCGGACCTATTTCTAACAACTGCTACACTTTCCTCCTTGCGAGTATTCACTTTTCCCCTCTAAGCTCATACGAAGAAATAGGCACAAGTTGCCTGCTCTTTCCTCACCCCCTCATTCCTTCACTATGCCCTACTGCTTTTTTAGATGAACTACAACGGGTGTAAGACGGCATGAACCATTTTAAAAGACCCAACTTTACATCCAGAGTAGATAAATAGACAATTCAAATTTTAGCAATTGAACACTTATAATTGCCTAGTATACCTAGATAGCATGCAAGTATACCAAAAGTAGGTGCATAAATTAAACATGTACTCCCTCCATTCCTAAATATAAGTCTTTGGAGAGATTTCACTATGAACCACATACGGATGTATGTAGATGCATTTTAGAGTGTAGATTCACTCATTTTGCTCTGTATGTAGTCCATAGTGAAATATCCATAAAGACTTATATTTAGGAACGGAGGGAGTAACAAAGTAAAGGAGTTATGTGATGATACACACATCAAGACGGGACAGGTTTTGGTGTCCGCAACCATGAGGATAAACTGATTCGGGCACAGGCCCTGTGGTACGAGGCTAGACTCTCGGCATTCACTGTGGAGGTATTTGTTGTTTGTAACGGGTCCAGCTAGCTTTTGACTTGGGTTACAGGAAGGTGGTAACCGAAATCGACGCCCAATTTATGGTGAACCAGAATTCTCCAAGCGGCAATCGCTTAGAGACTGCTACCACTATGAATGAAATCTGAGAGCTTTGTGGGAGTTTCAATTGGTATTTGCTGCAAGAGAAGCGAATGAATTAGCACATCTATGTGACAAAAGTTGTAGTTCCTCTAAGAGATGTTGCTTATGGATTAATTACATCCCGGCCTTCCTTACGGTTTGTGTAAGGAAGGAGTGTAATCCCGCTATTTGATTTATAAAGCTCTTGATTCTAAAAAAACAAAGTAAAGGAGTTGAGAAAGGGGAACGCAACTCAAGATTTATCCCAAGGTTCAGACTCTTCAAATTGCTGGCACGAGCAACCTTGTTGGAGGGAGTTGGGATACAAAGTTACAAGACCGAAAGGTCAGAAACGCACATATTCCTCCTTGACATAGGACATAAAGTCCATGGTCAATCACGAGGGATAGATCTTCATAAAAACTAGACGATCTCGCGGCCTTCAAAAGCTTGTAGGCTCCTTCACATTCGATGTAGGCTTCCAAGTGACCTCAACTGTTTAGGAGGTGCACCTCTCTCTCCGGGGTAAGAGGGAGAATCATAAAACACATAAAGTCTCAAATAGCATGCTGTCTCTCAGCCTTCTCAAGGGGCGAAAATCTAGCGATTGGATATAAAGTAATGTGCCTGGAAGTTTTTGCAAGCATATCCGGAAATACAAACATGTTTAAATTTTGAAGTGATCAGGACGGAAAACAACATTCTTAGAAGTTTGCAACAGCACCTGAAGTTACTGAGTTGTCCAAAGATACCTCAAGAATCATGGTAATGCCAGAGGTACCGGACATGAACACTCGGAGTTGTCGGGCCATAACTAGCGACTAGCGTGCCTTTGTCTACACAAGGAACCAGTGCCCAAAAATACAAGAGAATGCTAACATGTAGTATAATATGTTTCAAACATATCGATTGTTTTTAAGTTTAACGACATGTTTTTTAATTGCAGATCATTAATTATTCTATAGACTAACCTAGTAATAAATGCCATAAGGATGTCTTCCTACATGATCATTTTGATTTTAGGAAACTTTCCCAAAAGATAAAAATGTTGGAAAAAAATTGGGCGAACGGTTGAAAGGAACTCATGAAGTCATGAAGAAAGGGATAAAAGTGGGGCCCATAGGGGATGGTGCTGCTAGGTGTCGCACATCGGCACCTTGCGTACTTACCTAGGGCACCCACCCAGGTTGCCCTCCAGTCATAGCCTCCGTCCATAAATATTAGGTGGCCTCACGTTGAGATATTTGCAAAATAGAGGTGCAACTATAAGACAAATTGCTTCTCCAGGAGACTACCGTCAACTACGGGTTTGTAGTAGTAGTAATGTAGCAATCTCTCATTCTGCCACCATGTATAGGTTACATGTTTTCTAGAAACTAGCAAACTTCTCTTTCTTTGCAACATAAGTTATTTACCGCATTAGTTGCTTAAATGTATGTGCCATCATAGTCCCTCACTTTCTACAAAATGTGAATGTTACCTAAAAAATCAGTTGCGTCAATAGATGGCAAAGTGTGATAAATTTCTAATAACTTTAGTTAATCTCGACGAAGATGAACGGCCTGCCCCAACTCAAATCTTTGTCGGTGTAAAAGACTAGTCTTGATAGTTTAATGATCCAAAAGTAAGCATGTTCATCACTTCTCAGTTACCATTGATCGAAGGGATAGAATTTGCAGAAAATACTTGAAAGAGGGCATGCTCATTAATGATCAGCTCCACTATTTGAGACATCACACATTAGCCCGCTCATCACATGCACGCCAAGCGGGGATGGGCGCTTCATTGGTTTCCTCATTCCACCTAGCTAGACACCACGCAAGATCTCTTGTTTTTTGGCCTTTTATGAAAACATACAATAGCTATTAATCGAGTGTTCTTGGCCCTATTTTTGTTCACAAGACTCTAAAAATGTTGGAATATGGAAAGCGTAGTGGCATTTCATGTCATACTAGTCTTACATGAATTGAAAACACGAAATTGTATAGTGCAAGTTTGTTTGGTAGCTCGCTGGGAAGAACGTGCAAACTTTTTTTAAGAATTTGGTGCTTCACGTAGCTGTCATAGAAATTCCTATTGAGGCTAGAGTCAACTGAAATTGTCCTTTCGGATTGCATGTGAAGTAGTCCAGATGATCTCATGATTTCCATTCCTACAAACCAAAAATTCCTAAAGAATGTAATCCTCTAAAGTTCCTATGAAATTATTTGAACCAAAGGGGGCCTAACAATTTAAATCATCATGGTATTTATTGTGTTCAAAAATTATTAATTTTCGGTTCAATTGATTTTTGTGTGCTAATTTTCTAGTGGGGGTCCTGCTTTCTGCAATGAAGACATTGTCTCACGCACATCTATGACTGGCCGCTATGTCAATTTATTTATCTTGATGAAATGATTCTTCGATCTTTTCCCCTTATATCCTAGTACTAGTATAGACAAATCAGTTGTGGTGATGGTCTGTTTAATAAGCACCAATCGTCTGATTTGCTACCAATGGTTGAGTGTCCAAATGGACTGCGTAATTTTCACAGGAAGAATCCAATTCTTATGAATTTTTGTACAACAAAAGCCCTTTAAATCATATTGATTATGACCACCAAAAAACCTATTGAATGCATCCTATGTCCCCAAAATTCATAGTAATCTCGACACGAGCTTAAACTTTACTTCTTAATTTCTTGTAATTTATGATATGCACTTCCTCTCTATCCGTCTCTATTATATGTCTTCCTTCCTCCAAAATCTCAATGTTTGTCTATTGCGCACATGACACCTTAATTTTGTCCTCTTTTATTCACATTCCATAATTCATGTGATGCAAATAGGTTGAGATGTGATTGCTCATCTCCCACTTAAAGGGGCCGGCCGTGGGATCAGAATTTAAGTCTTGCCTAACAAAGACCAATCTGTTCATTGTAGCTTTGTTTGCAACATTGATTTTCAAGAGATGAAAGAACACTGAAACATCCTTTTAGTTGTTACGTTGCAGAATTAACTAGATACAGATTACAAATGTTGATTTGGAAAGAAGAAGAATACCACTACTTGTCTCCGAACAGGCAAACATATCATTTACCGAGCAGCTAACCATTCCAATGCTAAGCATCATTGCACACAAACTGTAAGATAATGCATACAGTTTTTCAAGTCGTACGAGATTAATCCCCACTCAGCAGCTATAAGATAATGCATACACTATAAAATGAAATAATTTCAAAGATTTTTCAAACAAGTTACAGTACAGTACAGGAAGTGAGTCTTGAGAAATAGATTAACAACAGAGTACCTGAACTGCTAATTGTTTTCTTGCGGCCTATAGTTATCACATCTCTCAAAGATGAAATGTTTCTCAGATGATTGACAAGTTACAGCACAAAGTCACCATCCTTTACAGAGTTTCATCGTTCCAATATTAAGCTTTGCATCCTAGATGAGATCCAGGAGCATATAGCAACGAGCCGACGACCATGTCTTCTTCGAAGAAAAGACACACCACCTGAAAGCATTCACTTCTTCGACATCCGAAACCCATCATAGCAACAACACCAGGGTCAATGTCCTCAGGTTCATTCTGGGCCACCCTGCACTCTCTGAAACCATTTAAATCCAGTCAGTATGAATTCTACTGATTTTAAACAGCCCACTGGACTGTTGACAGTAAATCTCATGTGCAACGGGAAACTGATGGTAAAACCTGGCAGTGATATACAAACTGTTGCATTTACCTTCACTTTTCTTTGTATTAACGTTTCCTCTCCTCTTCCTCCTGCTGTTGTTCTGAAGAACAAGCGAAGGAGGCCATGTTAACTTGCAGCCGGCAATCTGATAGACAGTTCAGTCTTCGGTCAGAATTTGGGATATACTCCTTACCGTTTGCTAGGAATATATGAAAACACAATCAGAGGAAGTATCTCCAGAGGTGATAGTAACAAAGGTTATCTGTCTGCATCATCTCGTTGTTATGTATGTACATGGAATACACAAGTTGCCTTTTAGCACTGATAATGTTATGCACGTCTAGTTGGCCTACCTAGCACCAAGTTAGGGAGAGGATTCCCGTGATCTCTCAGATAGGAGTTTACCATTTAAATTAGGAATATATCTTTTAGCTTGAGCCTTGGACAAATTAGGGATATCCTGATTGGTTACTTAGATCAAATAGTTAAAGACTCCTATATAAAGAGGACCCCTTGTGAGGAATAAAGCAAGCAAGAACTAGAAGGATAGTGTTTCTATCTCGCCTGAGAGTAACCTAGCACACAACCGGCAATCGTTGGATATTCACATTATTGAGTAAATATGTAACATATGATTGCCACAAAAGTAACTTTTATGCAGCAAAACCTACCCGATACAAGTACATGGTTTAGACAGTTAACTGCAAGAAACAAAAATAGTGAAGCCGCCAATGGTAAGAAAGATAAGAATAACTAAATAAGTGTGTGTGTGTGTATATATATATATATATATATATATATATATATATATATATACTTATAAGGCAAGTAACTGGCATACACGTTGGAAAACTGATCCAACCAATAAAAAAAGCATATTATTAAGCCTATTGTTTTCTCCAACATCATCTACTATCTTATTACAAAACTGAATAACATCATTAGAGAAAAGCAAATGATCCTTACAGAATAATGGTGTAAATTCAAGAGATAAGTTCTATTGAGTTCCAAGTCTAAACACACATGAAGGAGTATATGACCATTGTTTTATGTGGGTAATATGACCTTATTTGAGAAATCATTTCATACAAAGCCTAGAGAACAATGCAAACCACAGCGGACATCATGCATTTCACCACACTATGGTGCAGCCCTGATGGTCCCAAGGAAGGAACAATGAGATATAGTACAATATTCAAACTCACTTTTCTCCAAAGGTGGAGAATCATCAGCATTGCTTTCAGAGGTCGTTGAGTTCCCGGCATCATCTCTCCTAGTTGTACATTCACAAACTCCTGGGAACAACCCTAGGTGAAAACAAAGGCATAAATTCGCTGCACTCTTGGGAACATCACCTGAAGAATCATGGGGTAGCAAGGCACATCCATGTTTGTTGAGTGTGCCATCACCCTCCAGAACACCTTCTCCACAACACGGAACCCTAGGTGAAAACAAAGGCATAAATTATCAGTCCATAATTGTTAAGGTTATAAATGACAAAAGACCATGAAAATTTTATAGCGCAGCTACAATTATTCCATCATCTGTTTTAATGACCCAAGTTGCTATATGTTCTGTCGAGTTCCATTTCCAACAACTGGCTAGTGTTTGCACAGAATTACGAGGTACCATACAAATAAATGGCACATCGATGAGATATTTACAATAAGCCAGCACCAGAGGCATATAACTCTTCTCAAATAGAAATAGGATAACATCTATCACTTCAGTAATTGCACTTTGATTAAATGCATGGCACAATACACATATCCTGACAAAAGATGCAAGTCCTAACTCTATAGTATTGCTATTGAATAGCATTAATGCTAACTCGACTCACTTAGCCGCACAAACTCCAGCATAGTAGGGCTCGCACCGACCAAAAGAAAGATAAACATCGCTTGGCAACCACCTAATTGTAGAACATGTAATGCCGTCCTAACTCTATACACATCTCCTAAACTACAAAACTCAAAGGCCCAAAGCAACTAAGGAGTAAGGACACATGGAAACTACCAGCTGATCCATAAAAGAGTACCGAACTAGATAGAAGTTCCTTTTGACAATACCATCCATACAAATGTTTGTGCGTGGCTCGGAATAGGCGGCGAGTTCAAGAGTAGAGCCCTAACCTGATCTCGAGGTCATGGATGATGTATTCGAAGGTGTTGATAAAGTCAACTTCCTTGGTAGCACTGGACCCCTTGTTCAACAATTGATGTGCCTGATCCACTGTTTTTTCTTCCTCTCCCCCATCCTCACCACCTGCCTCCTCACTAGGCATCGACGCCGGCAGATTCTGGTGCTTGCCTTGGGGTACAGGAGTGTAGAAGCTGACAACTGGGATCAAACTACGGAAGCCTCGATCAGTATCACGGCACACCTTCCTCACATGCCCCGATTGTAGCTCTATTGTGAAGAGGCCAATAACTGTGTCAACAAAAATGATATTTGCTTCCTCAGCAAAGCCCATCACTTGCAGTCTATATTCTGAATGCAAGAGAGCATGCATTGGGATGAAACTTTTCAAGCACATGACCCGGTTCAGCACCCACCCTGCTTCAGCACTCGCCTCTCTTCTCCACAATTTGAGACGCGTATCCAAGTATTGGATTAATCCGATTCCACCGTCCTCCAACAGCACGAGGCTATATGCATGGCCGTAGTACTTGTCTGGTAGGCCGAAAACAGTCAGCTCGCGGCTTGCCAATTCATACTCGACGACCGACGCACTATCCGCGTTGCCGTCGGACATGAAGTAGAGCACAGATCTGTCAACGAGCACGCTATAGCTTCCTGTGAATTCCATGGAGAACTCGATGTTGCAGTGAATCGAGGTCAGCTCGCCCCAAGCACCAGTCTCCGACGAGTAAATGCACGCCGACGTGACGTGCGTCTCCTCGTCTAACACGACGGCGAAGAGGAAGACCACACGGAAAGGACCCCCGAGGCAGTCGCGGTGGTCACACCCGTCCGCCGCGCAGAACACGGCTGCGGTCGGGCAGTCGCTCAGGAACTCGGCAGGAAGCGGTATGCGCTGCTCAGCACCCGTGATTGGCTCCCACAAGAGTAGTTCCAGACCACCAAATTCCTGGGGGAAGAAGAGGGCGCGTCCGTGGCGGCAGTCGAGGGCCCGCCAGTCGAGGCAGTCCGGGGCGGCGAGGGAGAAGGACGATGCGGTGGTGGAGATGAATCGGTGGATGGGATCGAATTCCCAGTTGTGGAGGACGCCGAGCACGGGGGGTGCCCGGTGGAGCTCGTGGAGGCGGCGCCGGAATCCGGGGCGGCAGACGATGCCGGCCCAGTCCTTGCAGACGACGGAGGCGCGGAGGAGGCAAGCGGGTTCGTCGGGCGGGAGGCGGAGGAGGATCTCTTCGATGAGCTCGTCCGGGATCGCCGGCGGCGAGTCGCGGCGGCGCGGCGGCGGTGCTTCCATGGTGGCCAACCCTAGGTCTAGGTGAGAGCTGCGTTTTGATTTTCGGTTTATGTTTTTTTCGTCCTTGGGCGAAATGGCCGAATTTCGGGAATTTCAAATTTTTCGGCAAAATCTCGGACAAAATTGCAAAATCAAAATTTGAAAATTTGCCCAAAATTCGACCGAAATTTGGCCGAAATTCGGCCAAAATTCAAACAAAATTTGAAATAAAACAAAGCATAAACATATCAGTGCAACAACCATCAGGATGGATCGAATAAACTTCAGCAAATAAGCTCTAGGGATTAATAAAACTGCATCTGTCCAACATAACAAGCACACATTAGTTATAAAGTTGCCTCCAACATAACCCTTAACAGTCCAACTTCAACCATCACAGCGTAGTTCAGAGTTTAAATAGTCCGTTACAGCCAACAAACTTAAATGATTACACAGAAACAACAGCCCCAAAAGACAACCATCAAAGCATGACACTGAAACAGCAGCTCCAAGCTTGCCTACATCCAAAAGCTTCTTGATATCCCTGGATATTCTTCACATGCCATTACTGGTTTAGAGAAAATAGAGGAAGGGTTAGGATGGAGGTAGTCTGCATGGGAATTATCTTCTGCCACTTTGTGCAACAAAAAATAAAATGGATTATCAGGAGAAGTAGCTAGTAGAACAATATTCAAATGTTATGCATGCTCATGAATGAAATAACAATTCTACTACAGCAATATAGTTTTTATTCACCAAAAAGCTTCAAGAGCAAAGGTTATGGATCCATATACTAGAATGATGAATTTTAGTTTATAGTTTGTACTCCAGCACAACAAAACTCTAAGGATACAAAGAAAGCAACATAGACACAAACAGCCCGCTGTTGGCTTGGACTAGCCATTTGTCAATTGTCACACAGAAGGAAAATCCACGGTGAAAAATGTGAATCAAAAATCATGCATAAGCTCAAGGTATTGCAGGATAAATATAGTGGTAACATACCTATAAAACAGTAGCTCCAAGCTTGCATACATCCAAAAGCTTCTTGATATCCTTAGTTCTTCATGTGGCATTTTTGGTTTAGAGAAAACAAAGATAGGATCAGGATGGATGTAGTTCAACATCAAAATTTTCTTTTTCCACTTTGTGCATAATCAAATAAAATGGACTAACAGAGAACATCACTACTAGGTGATCGGTAGCAATTAGAACAACACTGATAGGTGGCAATTACAATAGCAATACAAGAAGATAAGTGGCAACACTGATAAGTATAGCAACTACAACAACAATACAAGAAGATAAGTGGCAACTATAACACTACAAGGTGATAATTGACAAGTAGCAATTAGAGCAGCAGTACTGATCATACACAGTGAGGTAAACATTAGAGCACCATAACAATTAAATATCAACCTACTTAAATAAAGAAATGCACATCAAGCTATTTGCTTCAAACATATAAAACATGAAGCTAAAATTTTGAAGCGGAGACGCCGAAAATAAGAGACTTACCAAATCTACGAGTAGAGGCTGTTCACTTCCTTGGTCTTCTTCCTAACTAGTCGTCCAGATCTACGAGCCTCCAAATTGCCAACACTTGCTGCTGTCTCCTTTTCAGCTTGTACTTGTGTCTCTTCTTCCACTTGCATTTGTGTCTCTTGCTGATCTTGTTGATCATCCTCATCATCCTCACTCACCCCATCATCATCCTCACTCTCATTATCAACATACTCATTCTCTTCATCGTCATCCTCACTCTCAGTTTCGACATACTCATTCTCCTCATCATGATTCCTCTTTCTTTTCTTCTTATTACCTTTTGTACCAACATAAGAATCCTTCCTGCTTGAGTTGAGACGCCTTATTTTCTCAAAAACAGCACTGGCTGCATCAGCTCCATCCACAATTGGATCCTCTTCATCCTCATTCAGCCACTCCATTATTGGATTTGCTTCATCAAACATTGTTGTGTCCAGCAGCAGTGCACTTGGATCAACTTCATTATCTATATCTTTCTCTTGATCTTCTTCAGCACGTATCTTCAAGGTTTGAATCGTAACCAAGTAAATTATATGACATGCAAGGACAATACAAGGTTGACAAAGAAAGTAAAATGAGTTTGTTTATACCTTTAGGTTGTAGCGGACAGAAACTAGCTTGTGGAGCTTGTCATATAAAAGACGATTTCTTTGCTTTGTGTGCACCAAAGCAAAGGCGCTCCAATTCCTCTCACACCCACTCGATGAGACACATTGTGAGCAAATTCTCATTGCACACTTCTGCAATGCAGGAACATCCCCTCCAAATTGAAACCACCATTGGGCTGCAAGATATCACCAATGAAATTTTCAGAATTGCAAACCAAAAGGAGATGAAAATTCTGAAACTAAAGGACCATCTCTTACTTGGCTCCATTCTCGCCGCAGCTTCTTCTGCTAATCTGGTCCCAAACCTCCCTTGGCACTCCCTAAACTTACTTACTTCATCAATGGCTGAAAGAGCACTCTTTGGATCTAATATCTTCGCTATCGCATCTGTTAGTGAGGTAGCATAATCTGTATGGTTGCAAAGGTTGAGCTTGTAATGTGTATATGGATCAAGGACGGCAGCTGCATAAAAATAGAGCAACGTGAATTAAAAACAGAAAAAAGAGAAATATAAATTTTGAAAGTCCATTCATTTATGAATACCTGCAACCATAAATGTATCGTCTTCCATTGCCTCTATCCTCTTGCCCACCTTGCGCATGAAACTAAGGTACAACCTTGATGTAGGGCCTAGATGTGCTTCCATTTGTTGTATAGCGAGCATCATACTTTTCTTGAATCCGGAAAGAGTGCATTGTTTCTGTGTATCAGCATACCTCATGGCCTTATAAAGTGGCCTCAACGAACCCAATACCCACTCTAGTGTGTTCCACCAAACATTACTGGACAAACATTCTTCAGCAAACACATATCCAGGCTCATACCTCCACTGACACTCCTTCCAATCAGTCGAAACCATCCACTCCCTAAATTTATCTTTCTTCAAATGGTAACTCTCAAGGAACATGAAGACAGTCCCAAAACGGGTGGCATTTGGTCTAATTAGTTCACCACCTATGTTCTTCTTCATGTTATCATGTAGGTTATTGTGCTTATGGAAGAACCTACAGATTGTCTTGGCGCTCTTGACTATCACATCAACCTCGGGAAATTTGGCTATATCTTTTAACATAAGATTGACGGTGTGGGCAGCACACGGTTGCCAAACAATATGAGAGTATTTTGGTTCTTCTATAAGGGTTTTGCAAGCTTTCTTATAGTTGGACCCATTATCGGTTACTATTTGAACAATATGTTCATGGCCTATCTCTTCTACAACCTTCTCAATCTCTCTATAGATAAAGTCTGCAAAATTTTGTAAAATGCATATACCTAATTAGAACAAAGCAAGTATTTTAAGAACACAAGACAATTGTAAGACAGATCCAAGAATTGAACAAGCAAGTATTGTAGGAACATATGTAAAACGCATATATACCTAATTAGAACAATGCATTGAGAACATAAAACAATCCTAAAACAGATCCAAGTATTTAAGAAGCAAGTATTCTAAGAACATATGTGAAATGCATGTATAGGACAAATACAAGTGTTCAAGGAGCAAGTAAAATGCGAAGAAGGGGAGGAAGAAGTAACCTGAATTCTGAGTCTGGCCGGATGCATCAATGGTATTGAGGAAGAACATTCGTGTATTACAATATACCATTCGTGCATTGCAAAGTTACAAACAACATCACTTCAATTGAAGCTAGCAAATCAAGATCATGGTTCCATTTGCATCGTGTGAACAAGCAAAGCATAGTAATACCTTTCCAAGATTTTTGGGAATCACTTGCATTTGCATCATGGTTGCCACTACCAGTCCTATTTGCATTTCCATTACCTGAAAATCACATGACAAAAGAACAACGGTCAGCTATGAAGAGTAGGTAACTAAGGTAGCCACACTTGCTTACTAGGGTGTCCCCATATGAATGATAAACAAAAACAGTACAGCCCGATCTACTAGAGTGTCACTTGCTTACTTAATGGTATTGCTGACCATTGAAATTAATCATTGGGTCAACATCTACTTACTTAAATAAACACATAACACAACTGCTTTTTTATTGGACGTGCTGTAGATCTAAATAAATGATCGATTCAAATATCGGATGCTTCTTCAAATATACAAGCCAGTGGTTGGATGTGATAAAAGACAAGAATCATCTCAATAGCTCAAAACGCAAGCACACAACCCAGATTTATGGAACGATTGTATATTTGAGGATGTTAATAACAAGGTTTGTAACCCACTTTTCTTTTGGACCAAAATAAATACTACCAGATCGTGAGCATCCTTGGTGACTAAAAGCAAAATATGCATGAAAACGGATGTGAATCATACAAAATTACATGGTAATAGAGCACATCTTGCTTCTTCCATCCTTTGGCAGTCAGGCTCATTAATTGTTGGTTGCCGACTCGTCGTATTCCATGCATATGCAGTAGCAAGTAGACGGAAAATCTTTCTAATGCCAGCAGATGCAACAAGTAGAGGGTGAACCCAACTAGCAAGCAAGCAGTCCGATGCAGCAACAAGCAGGAAGCTACTCATACAACAATCGATCAAGCTGCTTGTAATAGCTAGCTAGCTGTGTACGTACTATTAATCAAGCTGCTTGTAATAGCTATATAGCTTTGTACAGATTGCTGCTTCAACTAGGAAGATATAAACACATCAAGAACATCTGTACCTTCCCAACCAAGAGGACGCCCTCCATGCTGCTGCCGCTGGCCCGTGCTCCTGCCTCCGTTGAACTGGTCGGCTCGCGCACCATCACCTCCGTTGCCGCAGCCGCCGAGCACCATGCCGCCGTCTTGAAGAAGCAATGGACAGGGAGTGGATGGGGTGGATGCGAGGAGACGTGGAAGGCGGCAGGAGGCTAGTGAGCGCCGGCGAGATGCGGAGGACACGGGAGAAGCAGC